TTGCCTCCAGTAATTCAGAATTCTACAATCTCTTCGCGGGCCTCATGCCTGGAGTACTGTTCCACCAGGTTTTGGAATCATTAAGGATGTCCTTTTTGTAGGATCCGGGGCTTAGAGTTTTCATTTTGGCTCCTTTTTTTGGCCATGTCCACTTGGACTCTATGTCCCTAATGCCCATTGACCCATGCCAGAATCAGGTCATTGGTGTCACTGACTTCAACCAGGGCTTCAATACAATTCCATACGCAAAGAATCAAATTTAAAAGATTATTTCAAAGGTTTTCTTTAAATAAGTGCTTGGTTAATTTTAATAAACATTAACTCAAGTGTATTAATGCAGCAAATGTATATTTTTTTTAATAGGGCATTAACAATAAACACGCAAAAACACTCTTGTCACAATTACACCTCCATTAAATTTCCGCCGGCAAATCGATAAAGGGCATATTTCACCCCCGGGAGATCGTGTTTTGCGCGTATTGCCCCTGTGAACTTGAATATCTGCTTTTCAAGTACGCGCATAACACCCTGCAGAAAAACTTGATACGATGGAACCATTAGAGGGATGAACCCCCGGAGCCAGCGGGAAGAATTCCCACGAAGTCGAGGGTGGAAATATTCCGTTTAAACAGGGCTGCGGTTTTTTTTGGGGGGGAGGGGCGATTCAATGAGCTCAAAAAGCTTATGACTCCTGTAAAAACCGATGTCGAGGCTTTCAGGGGAAGTAAATTAATTAGGATCAGAGACCTCCCTCGGTGGAAAATTAATTATCTTAACACAAGAAATGAAGACAAAACATTTAACCTTCTTGACGGTTTTTTTTGCTTAAAATTTGTAAAACAATGAAAACTTATAAAAGATTATTTCCTCCATTTATGTCTGGTCTTAATAAGACTTAAATTAAATATGCCTCGATCAAATCAGGTTTTATCCTAAATTAAAGTAAAACTATTTGGAAAAGTTTGTCAAAGCCAAAGGGAATGCAGGATGATAAGTAATTTATACAAATATAGAGCGTGAAAAGTTTCCTTGTTCTTAAGGAAAAAGGTGACATTTCATTGTAACCTCTAAGATACAGTGGGAGAACACATGATAAAATTATCTTAAAAGGCAGGAAAACTGAAAGATATATGTACAGCATTGTCCAGCTTCTAAATAAATATTAAAATAATATTTTTCAACGCAAAAAACATTTTTATATATTTCAATGCAGTGAGGGAAACAAAATCCAAAAATTTGATCTTTTTAGGTTGATTGAGAAATTAAGGTATTTCTAGTAGGGAAAATGCAACATTTCCTGGTTCTTAAGGAAACACACGACGCTTTATATGTTAGTTCCATCCTCCCGACAGTTTTGGAAAGATAAAATATTGAAATTATTTTAAATATTTAACTAAAGCATCAATAAAACTGATCATTTTTTCTGATTTACATTTTTAAGGATAATATCACGAGGGTAAACAAATTATGTCAAAAATGTCGCGCTTTGCATTTCTTCTTCCCAATTTCAATCATTTTTCACATTTCAGCATTTTATAATGACCAAAAGCTTAATTAGAAAATTTATTTACAATATTATATTTAACACGTCACGCAAGAATGGCACAATTACACAGAAGACAAATACTTTGAGTCCTGAAGATGATCTCAATAAAGATCGAAACGTTGGCACGATAAAGAAAATGTTTTTCTGAAACCTGCATCAAACTAGACCTCATCTCACGATTTCTGAATAATTATTATATTTAAATTAATTAATCTTTATGTAAGGTATTGATTGAGATAAAAAGTCAGTGTCACGAGCGGGATTCGAACCCACGACCTCTTGCTATATGATTGCTATATCAGCTATATGGTGCTACAAGTGGTACGATTGACCAAATAATATATTTCAATAAATTAATCTTTTTGTAAGGTATGGCCAAAAGGAAGGAAAATTCACAAAGGTGGAGTTGAGATGGGAAGTTAGTGTCCGAGTGGATCGAAGTCTCGAAAGCTCAAATGGTAGAGCAACGGCGTATTTAGCCGGAGGTCGTGGGTTCGAATCCCGCTCGTGACACTAACTTTTTTATCTTAATCAATACCTTACATAAAGACTAATTGATTGAAAGATGTTATTTGATCAATCGGACCAGGAAATTTAATGGATTATATTTAAACCAAATTCTTAATAATGTCAGATAAAAAAGGACGTATTAATATTTGTTAGTTATGGTAGCCAGAAGCAGTAAGTAGAAGCACCAATTTCAATTGAAAGCTTAAAAATTATTTTTTTAAATTATTTACATAACCTGAAAACTGCTCATGCGCGAACATACGCACGTGTAAAGAGTTGAGCCTATCATTTCCCACACAGACAATTTCAGTGTAATTTACAATAAATTACCGAGAGGCTTTGAGGATCACCTAATCCAGGGTCATGGCAGTCCGAGGAAATCGGTCCCATCCGTCCAGCCATCGAGGTTGGGCTTCATGGGTTACCAACACCTAGGTCGTTTCAGCACCCAACGTATTCCCCTGATTCACACTGTCACATATAAATACATTCTTTCCTATTTACGGTTCGTGGTGTACTCGATATGCCATCATCACCCTTTACATTTATTATATAAGTAAACTAATTAAGGGTCAATGTTCATTAATCTGGTGGACCAATGTACAAAAAAAAATCAGCTACTCAAACATTAGACAGCATACAAAGACTAGTAAACCTATGTATCATAGGGTCAATGAGAACAACCCCTACAAATTAGAAATTATGCTTAACCTACCTCCACTGGAAATATTTATATAGAGAGGATAGGAAAAGCTCATTTAGGCTCCAAAAACATTAAAATTGGATAGGAACCAAACAATTCGGGCATACAACTATAATTAACAAAATCAGATACTCATTATTAGAAATGGGGACTATATGATCCCGAAAACGGTTTTTACAAGATCCTATAAAGTCTCAATTGACTGTAAAGGAGAGGAAGAACACAGGAGAGCATTAGCCATGGAATACAGATGGCTCCAAAACAAACGAAGGAACCGGATCGGTCGTTTTCTGTACAGGCTCAAAAAATGAACAATCAACCTCAGTACCCTTCGGTCATTCGAGCAGAAATACATGCCACCAATGCTTGTGCCCTGGAAAATATTAAAAGAGGTTGCACTGATAAAACAATCCTCATAAGATCGGTTACCCAAGCAGCCATTAAAGCTAAAGTAAAAGAATAACATCAAGTCAGTGAATGCATCCAAAATTTCCAAGACCTGGGGAACACAACAACCTGATGATATCGTCGGTGCCAGGGCACAGGGGAATTTTGGGTAACGAGAAAGCAGATAGTCTGGCCAGATGAGGATCTGCAAGACCATACATAGGCCTCGAACCTTTACTTGGGATAACAAAAATAAATATAGAATCCTCCATCGCAGAATGGATCCAAAACACAAAAGGAGAAGTGGACGACCTCTAGCAGTGCTAGACACAGTAAACTTATGATGAAACAACCCTCACCTAGACTGGCAAAATCACTGTGAGAGGGCTAAACTCAGAGGAGTAGTCACTGGTAGGACTACTAACTGGTCATTGGCATCTGAGTAAACATCTATACAACATGGACATATACAACGATGATCCAATCAGCAGATTATGTAATGATGAGGAGGAAACAGCTACCCATATCATTATCGAATGCGAAACAACAACTCGATGGAGATTCAACCTAACATGCGACAAACTTAGGGAATGAAATTGTAGCAGCGACAGTCAATGACCTGATACTTCTAAGGAGAAGGATAGACTCTATTGCACTTAACTAAGGAACTAGGAAGGTGCCTGGGGAGTACACACCCCGCTTCCTAGTACCCTTACCACCATACCGTACACCAAAGGTAAGTGTAGCACCTTCTCACACTGCACCTTGTAAATTTGTTGAGAAAATTTAAGACGTAAGAATCACAAAGTTTATGGACCTCAGCTCTTCGGTAAATTTTCTTTTTTCTTACACAAGGTAAATTTGAGAAAAGATCTAATCTATGATCCATAATGCCCAATGGTTTAGTATGTTAGCCCGATGTGCGACTGTGGAGAAGAAGAAACGGCGGAACACGTCTTGCTCAGTTGTGAAATCCACATCGTTCCCCGTGTACGCTGGCTCTTCGAGATAAATGAGCAGACGGCGACCATGGACGCCTTAAGAGCAGCGATCGCCACTCGGGTGGGACTTAACGCAACACAAAAGATGTGGAAAAGCGTTATGAGACAGAAAGTATGGCCGACATAATACAGCAATAGATAAGATATCAGACAAGCCTATACCTCCTCCACCTGAACATCCCGAGCGAGCCGCCTCCGCGAGGCCCATCCCGGACGCAGTAAACTAAACTGTGACAAAGAGCTCGTCAGGTGGAGTAGAGATGCGACCGTCTAACACACAAAAGAAAGATCATAGCTTCCGTCTATAATACAAAAAGCTATATAGCAGCGCAAGCCAAGAAGCTGCAAAGAGCCAGATAGGGCTCAGGAGCGGCAAAAACAAAAAGGCACAGACGGTTTATTATGTTTTAAGGTCAAATATTCAAACACAACTCTTATCCTACTCCTTCAATTGAATAAGAAAATCAGCGGTGGACGTGATCCTTACCACTTATAAGTTGGTCTCTTATAAATTGAGAAATTTATTAAAACCCAAGCTTTTCTAACAAATATTTTTTTAAACCGTTTAACTTTTATTTATTAGTTCATATTCTTTGACCAATATGAAGATATGAGAATAATAAATGAGCGCATAGCCCTTGTCCTACATGGATAAGTTTTAAACCATTAATACAATTTATTAGACACTAAGTCGCCATAGCACATCAAATTAGTGTAAGACAAATATTTTATTACATGAAAAATGTAATTGTATTTTTTCAATTTTTTTCCAGAGTAGAAATGTTTTTAAAATGAGAAAAAAAAGGCAAAAACAACGATTTTAGGATTAAAGGTTGAACTGACTTTAACTTACGTTCGGTAATCGACTTTCTTCTTGTGGTTTCGGACGGACGATTCGCAACTGGACGTTCCGTTGATCATCCAGGCCCTTTTTATACGGTGCGAGAGTGTACCTGGCTTAGGGCAAAAACAAGGGGTTGGAATTGGGGGTTGATACTCGGCTAATAGCCGGGAAACCCGCATTCCTCGAAGCCCAACCCTTAAGATAAGCCTTTTTTAACACCACGACCGATATATTATAAAAATAAATCCGAGTTGAAAAAATTCTCTCAGATAGTGCAATATAAAATAACTGAAATTATATGCCAACGAGTTTTAAAAGTACTACTCCAAACACTACTCAATTAGCATGAAAACTTTAGATTTAGGGCTCATTTTTAAAATTAAATCATGCTTTGAGTTTTATTTCTTTAGAACTTGGTTGGTCTTAGATAAATAAAGACATCTCTGATTTGAAATATTTCCGTTTTGAAATCTCCACACACGTCAAGAAAGATTTTAGGAATTCCGGTAGGCAGTCAACAAATAAAAAAGAAAGAAAAGTCCCTAGCCTACAAAGAGGAGATTCAATTAACCAGATAAACGCCTTTTGTATTGCTTTCGAACATCATCGGACCTGATTTTCCGATTTTCCTTTATCCTTCCAACTCTTCTGAGTCGGTTTTAATAACTATATTTCAACGAGATCCTCAGGTCTGATTTAAACTGTGTTCGTTCAAAAGATTGTAAAACTAAGGTCTAACATAGCCAAATTTTGCGGAAATGTACTTCAGACAAGATCATGTAGGAGTAGGATCATAGAGTATGAAAAATGTGTTAGTATTTCTGTACAATTTTTGTATAAAAATATAGAAAAAAGTGTTTCTATTTTCTAGACAGACTTCTACAGAAGGCAACGTTAATGATGAATTTTACTATAAAAAAGAAAATTAAAACTGTTGATTATACCAAACCAGACAACTTTGATCACTAGTCTAAAGTGCATAAATATGATTTTCTGATTATGTTGACATTAGCTTCCTGAAGTGGTTTTGGGTTATCGTGCTTTTGTTTAAGGTATTTAACTCGATTTTCCCAATTTTTTACTTCTACTAATTATTGATTGACGTTATTCTCTCTCTCTCTCTCTCTCTCTTTCTCTCTCTCTCTCTCTCTCTCTCTCTCTCTCTCTCTCTCTCTGTCTTTCTCTCTCTTTCATCTTACCTCTTAGACTACCTCATTTTTACCTCCTGTTTCTTTCTTTATCTAACCATCTGTTTCATTCCCTCCCTGTCAGTCTCTCTTTCTCTCTCTCTCTCTCTCTCCCTCTCTCTCTCTCTCTGACTCTCTCTTTCTTTCTTTCATTTTACCTCTTAGACTATCTCATTTTTACCTCCTGTTTCTTTCTTTATCTAACCATCTGTTTCATTCTCTCTCTCTCTCTCTCTCTCTCTCTCTCTCTCTCTCTCTCTCTCTCTCTCTCTCCCTCTCTCCGTCATATTAAAACATTACATAATACTAAAGTACTATTGTAATATATACGATAAATTAAGAGATAATATGTTACGATAAAATGATAAATGGAACGATAAACTTTATTAAAAAAAAAAAAAAAAAAAAGACCATCATATCAACAATTTTTAAAACTTATACACACTAAGCAACCGAACGAACTGTTGTTAAATATAAAAGAAAAATTAAAACAATAAACTTAAGGCAAAACTATATATTTGAAATTACAATTCATAGAACTAAAACATACTCAAATTCTTTCTTAATTACCAGTATAAAGTTTAATAATCTTCCAAATAATATTTCTTCTGAGAGCAGTTTTCTTAATTTCAAAAGAAAATATCTAAAACATATCATGAATATTAAAAAACATTATAAAACCATAGAAGCATAAATTTAATTATTATTATATACAAATGATAAATTATATATTATTATAAACTAATAATAATGAAAATCAAAAACTTTTTAAAACTTTTAAAAACTTTTTAAAAAAATCAAAAAATGTTTATTTTTTCTGTTTGTTTTGATTGTTATTCATTGGTGTTTTTTTTTTTTCAAATAATTAAATACATATAATCTTATAAATTTATGAATCAAAACATTTTTGTAACGTAAAATAGTTATTCATATATCGTGAGATGCGGTCTGGTGTGATGTAGGTTTCAGAAAAACATTTTCTTTGTCGTGAAACTTTTCGATCTTTATTGAGATGATCTTCAGGGCTCAAAGTGTTTGTCTTCTGTGTAATTGCCATTCTTGCGTGTCGTGTTGAGAGTGCCACTGGCAAGACAAACACCTTGAGCCCTGAAGATGATCTCAATAAAGATCGAAACGTTGGCACGATAAAGAAAATGTTTTTCTGAAACCTACATCACACCCGACCGCATCTCACGATATCTGAATAACTATCGATTAACGGTCACTAATCTCTACACACGTAACGTAAAATATTTAATAAAGAATACGTAAAACCTTTCTCTTACGTTATATTTGTAAAATAAATTGAAAAGAGCAAAAGAGTCCGGATAAATTGTATATATGCATAATGTATAATGTACAACAGAAATCTCGGTAGGGGCGTCGGTGGCCGCAACGGTTTAGGCGTTGACACGGCGCTCATCAATGTAAGGTAAAGGTCCCGGGTTCGAATCCAGCGGCCCTGCATTCAAACCCGACATACTTACAAATGGGCTTTTTTTCAAAAACATCGGCACCCCGAGAGTTGATATAACCTCTGCTAACCTCGTCAAAAAAAAAAAAAAAAACTCGTTCAGTGGAAGTGAGGTCTTTGCGACTTAACTTAGCTTGGTTGAATAATATGTTTAATCAATCAATCTCTCTTTCTCTCTCATCTTATCTTTTTAACTGTTTTCTATCTTCTGTTTTCTTTCTTTACCCACTATTTCATTCACTCCCTTTCTTTCTCTATCTCTCTTTCTTTCTTTCACTCTCTTCCTGTTTCATTATCTCTTTCTCTCTCTTGCCCTCCTTTTTCTCTCCCTCTTTATTTAACAATCTATCGGCCTTTCTATTTATTTCTCCCCCTCTCTATCTATCAATCTACATCTACTTTTAATTTATACTTGATTTATAATTGATAATTTATTATGATTTTTTTAAAGTTAAATAATGAACTTTTTTAATTGTAACCTACATTTTCATTCGGAGGTTAATCAGGTTTATTCAATTTATATAATGCTAAAAATTGGTTTAAAAAGAATGTTAAATATTGTAAAAATGACACGTTAAATCAGATACAGCATGAACGTAAAAATTTGTTGTTTTTTTTTGTCAAAAATAAATGCGCGTTTCGATTTGCTCTTGAAATAGAACTAAAAGAAGTTATAGTCGTTTTTAATTGTGCTTTATTGATAAATATAAATGATTATCCTTTACAGATCTTGAAATCGTAATATTTTTCTATTTCAAAATTTATAAAATTTCGAAAAATTTTCTATCAAGGTTTAAACAGGACGAAATTCAGTGTCGCCTTCGCCCTCGTACGATGGCCTGATTATCTTATGAAAATCTTATGAAAAAAATCAATTTTACCCAATAATATCCTTATAATTTTTAATGACAATTCAATGAACTGAAGATTTTTTATTTTATTAATAACAAAATTTAAACACTACAACTCACTACATAAGTTTAAATGACGGATTTCCCCAGTGAAAAATTACTGTTCTTGATGGTAGTTGAAAAATTTTAAAAAATAAAAAATAAAGAAAAATTTATTTTAAAAAAATAATCAATTATATTAAAAAAATGCTTTTAAAATTTATAAACCTTGGTAAAAACTATTTGATGCTAAAACTTAAAACTTTTTTTACAGCTCAGTGTTTCATAAGAAAGTTGGTGTTGCAATATCACACCTGAGACAAAGAAGTCTAGAATTTATGTGTTTAAGGAAAAGCACATGATATGCGAAACTTTGTTGTCTCCCTACTCGTGTGTTTTTCTGAGTAAACATTTTTTTTAAATAACTAAAAATCTACAATTGTGTGGATAAATTATTCCAAATTTCTAATAAACAAGCGGATTGTTTTAATTTGACAAGTCATATCCAATAAGTTCATGAATAAAATGTTTAAAAAATAAACAAGGTAAAGTTTTGTGTGCGAATTCTCTATACTTGTTGTAAATAATACTAAAGATAAGAGAGTGACTTAAAAGCTTTTTTTATGGCCATTACTTTCTGGTTTTCCTTTAAGGTTCTTTTTCCTCCATTTTCTGTGTGGATGTTTTTGTGCTTGTGAATCAGGACGCAATGAAACCCGCGGAAGGGTGATGTCACGGCCAAAGAGAAACATATAAGGGTGTCCAATTAGGTGGAGAGTTTTCTTGATGTGTTCGCCTCTTAAAGGAATAAGGGTCGCCCTTGAGACCAAAGGAAGCAAAGGACCTCTTTCTGTCCGGTATCCTTTTGTAGGACGCCACTAAACTTTGCCTATCAATAGACGTTCGTTTCCTTCGCCTCCTTCGTCCCTTTGCATTTAATTAGTGTCGAGCAATTAACTGCAAGAACGGTAGACGCGCAAGAGGCTGATATGCCCTCTGGTAATAATCAGCAACTGCTTCCCCGGTTTCAACTCCGCCGCCCCCGACCTTTCCCTGTTATTGACAACACACCTCCCGCCCTTCAACAACCCTTCAACATGGGGATGAATCTCAATAAATTTCATACATTTTATTTATAAACTTTCTGTTAGCTATGAGCGAATTGATTTTCATGATTCAAACGTATTTTAATATAGGTGTGAGGTTTCATACACTTTTAAGACATCCTGTGTATGTGATAATTGTATATGTAGAAAACAAGAAAGTAATATACAGGGTGTTCGGCAACTCGTATTACAACCTTTTCCGGTAGAACCTACTTTCAAAAAGGAATCAAAAAGTCCTAATTAACTATGGTCCTAATCTCAACATTTTCGGATCTTCACTTTTTCTGATTTTTTAAGATTTCACGACCTAGCTTCAAATAAACAATGATAACTCAAAAACTAAATACTTTTAGACAAATCTGTTGATACCATCGAAAACTAAGTTAAATTTCCAATTAGATGTGATCAATTCTAAACTT